GTCGCCCCCGAGATCCCCGTGGCCATCCAGCGCTCCCTGGAGTGGAACGCCGCCCACCCCGAGGAGGACAAGGAGGCTGGCATGTACGCCGAAAAGAAGATGGTGTACTGAGATTGACTGTCCACCTTGCTGTTTGTTGTTATTACGTCTTTTCTTTTGATGTTGTTGAATTTTGTATTAAATCGCCGGCCGTTAAACACTTAGATTTTCGTTCCTTATGTTTTCTACATATTTCAACAATCCCTTCTGGTAATTTCGCTGACCGCCCATCACGTTTTTATGAATCGAAATACATTTAATTCATTTGGTTAAAATGTTTGACAATTCATTTAATTGCAATGTAAGACAGGCACCGTATAGTGTAGTCCGTCTGCGTGCTTTGGCTCGGCTCCCCATGCGCGCGCGCGCGCGCGCCGAGGACGCTTTCCGCAGGCAACCCGTTCTACTCAGCTGCGTGACCCCCGGCCAGCGGCCTGCCCTCCAGGCGCGCGCCGCGCCGATCGGGGCCGGGCCATTCTCCGGCTCGTCGCTAAGCGATCCTCTTCCTCCGACGCCCCGCGGGTTCGCAGTCCAGAGGCGGCGGGGTGGGTGGCGGCGCTGGGGCGGGGCGCACTGCAGCCCGGCGCACGTGGTGCCGCCGGCGGCGTCACGTCCCAGAAATTGAATTCCTCAACATTCATGCAAACGTTGCTTTCGATTTTGCAGACCGTCCGCCGTGCCTCGGTGGCGCTCCTCGCCGAGCTGCTCGCCCTGCCGGCCGTGTCCGCCCTCCGCCTCCCCCTCCCCCTCGCGGCCCGCCCCGCGTCCACCTCATCTTTTTGTCCCGCCCTGATGACGGCCATCTCCCCCACCCCCGCCCCGCACGTTAACACGCACGCTAGGCGTTGTCGCCCCCGAGCCTCTTTCATAAATCGCGGCCTGCGGGACAGTCATCGCCAGGCGACGCAAATTTGCCAGCCCCACTTAAGAGCCTCCCTTCTCCGCTGACCATTTTTTCCCGTCCAACCCTCGTCTGTCCGGCCGCCACGCCACCCTTCCGCGCGCCGGTGCCCCCCCCCCCTCTCCTCGTCTCTCCTACTATCCCTCTCGTTTCCGGCAACTCGGTGAATTTTTGACGACCACTTCCTCGATTATAGCTCAGCGCCCTCCCCCGCTGCCTCCCTCCCCCTCCGCCCGCTCCCCTCCCCTCCCCCGGACCTCTTCGCTGATCCGGTATGCGTTGAGGGACAGGTGCGCGCCGGCGGGGCGCTCGGCGGTGGTAATCACCCCCACCCCCCACCCCTGCCGCCTCCCCCGCCTGCCTGACGTATTGATGTATTCATCACTCATCTGCCAGACTGTAATCGCCCCCTACTCCCCTCTTTACTGCAGCCTCCCCCTCGCCCCCCCGCTCTTTTTCTCCCGCCTGCCTTCTTTGCAAGTGATAAGGCTGAGCGAAGGTGAGGGTCCTCGAATCAATGCCGTAGGGCCGCGGGCGGCGCGGGCGCCAAGTGTGTAACAAAAGCGCTGTTGGAACAAAGCTACAGCGTGGCACCTTAAAAGGCACTAACGTTTTGATGCGTCGGAAAATTTCGCCTTTCGGTATCTGTTTGGTGTTCTATGCAAACGCTATCAATTCAGAACTCCAACTAACGAAAGGTGAGACGAGACGCCTTGCCTTTGAGTTCCCAAGTATGTCATCAGTTCTAATGTTCTAACCATTGAATGAACTCCTGCCCAGCAGAGGCGATTTTCTCGTTGCTGTTCATGATTTCTGGTGACATGTGACATGAGTTGTTGGCTTTGTGTAAGATTTATTCAGAGATATATACGATATCTTTATTTGCTAGTAAAGGTTTTACGTGTGTGACACAAAAATGGCCGCAATGGCCGAAAAAAAATGTATGTGTGCAACTGAAAAAAAAAAAATATGTTCTAACACGTGTCGCCTGTGAAATGCCCAATGCGGCGCTTGATAACGAAGACAGCTCACCCTTTCCGACCCGCAGGCTCCGCAGGCTCCACAGGCAGGCGCGCGTGGGTGCGTATGTTGTTGGGGGAGGAGGCGGAGTTCTGGGTATGCAAATCCCATAAGAGATTAAAAAGAGATTTTTCCGGTTTTATTTATAATGTGCGCTTGTTTCGCTTTTTGACCTCGGAACAGGGAGAAAGGGTGAGCCGCACGGGTGAGGTTGGTGGAGGTGCGGGCAAGGCTGGTTGGGGAAGGTAGAGTGCGTTTCGCGCGTCTCCCCTCCCGATCCACGATTTAAGGTTCTCCCTCACTCCCCCTGCCCACCCCCTCCCCGCCTCTTCCCCACCTCGTGCTTCTCGCTCTTCCCCCCTTTCCTCAAGGTCTCTCGCCTCTCGCCCTCGGATATCTCGCCGTACATCCGGTCGCGCCGTCCTCCTCCTCCCTGCGGCCGGCTCACGTTTGTCGCCTTAATAAGAGCAGGTGGGGCAATATATCAGCAGCCGGGGGCTTAAGGTAGGAGGAGGAGGGGGGAGGGGCTGTTATCAGCTGGGACTGATGCTGCGCGCCCCTCTCCACCCACCGCCACCAGCCGCTACCCACCCAACTTCCATAAACACCACAGTATACGAAGTATACTTCTAATGAACACACTGCGCGAGCTCGCTCTGCACCGCTATGGACCTGCTCGGTCGTCTCGTCGATACTTGTGGTCGCCTGCGCTCGCTGTCGTCGGTGTGTGCCCGCCCCCCACCCTCTGTGAGTGAGCTCGCACACCGTGCCGCACACCCCCACCGCCGAGATGCGGGGGAGAGACACTTGGAAAAAGTTAAGCGAGAAGCAGGGATCGAGTCCGATGAGAGATCGCACGGACTTACCGCCTCGCTGATTCTCAGCCGCACGCCTAATGGGACAGGGGGGGGGGGGCATGCGGAAAAGGCGATGATCTCCCGAGAAAAGAAAAGAAAAGCGAAAATAAGCGTACTGGAGTTGGAGCTAAACTTTTGGGCGAAACGCAAATCATTCTTCGTCACGTGGCATCGCTTCGCTCGTCGCCGCGCCGCGC